GGGGGGGGAGCGGAAGGGAAGGATGTATGGGCCAACGTGTGTTGTGCAGCTGTGACAGTGGGTATGATTGGTGTGGTTTTGATGTAATTGTTTACACTATTTTAATCGAACTTTGGTAATTGAGGCAAGCCATTTAGATTTTACCGATGGAACTATAAAAAATGAATATTGCTTGGTCTTGAGACTAGGCAAGTTTCTACCTCTTCCTGATAACAGCTCACTGAATTGAAAGATCATGTATGTTAGATGAATGTCAGTTGATGATCATATATATTTCATAGTAAGTGTGTTTGTGTTTTGTCAATCAAGCTGTTAACTCGATTTGTTTAAAGATAGACCTAAGTAGCTTCGACGTTTGACTCAACCAGAACAAAATTAATTATATGAACCTGGTACGTCGAAATTAATTTGCAAGAGCCGTGCCTAATCCTTGTTGTAACTTAAAGTCCTTGGAAAGCCCTTGAAGTTATGATACAAATTCAAGGCAATTGGAAAGCTCTTGAAAAAGTTAAACTTATTGAAAAGTCATTGAATACTCCTTGGGAAGTAAAAATATTCCGTAAGTAATAAAATAAAGAATATAAAACGGCAATAAAAAAATAATTGTTGGAAAGGACATCGTCACGGAAGATATTGCTAGCCAACATCTCTGGAACACTAAGTATATCTATATCGATAAAAATCAGTATTTTAAAAAGGTCTTTACGCAAAGGCCAGGGCGTACATAGAGTAGGACATCTCGTTGATTTCAATGGAATACCGAAACTACAAAGTCAAATATTCTAATCAAAAATCACAAAATTAGAATTCTACATGTTGCTAAGCATTCAGAACACTTTTCCTACAGAATGGCGTAAGTTTTTAAAAGAACGGAAAAACAAGTCAAATACCAAAATACTTATTACTTCGAAATCAATCTATTCAAAGGATTTTTTTTTTTTAAATTTAAAAAAAAAATTGACCTGCTACTGCAAAATTTAAATATGATATTGAAAGTGAATAAATATTTGTTACCATTCAGAACTACTATAGAAACAAGACTAATTGAATTTCAATGTTAAATATTAAATAGGATTATGCCAACTTGACCAAGATTTTTTGTACAAAATTGGAAAAATTGATTATCCACTTGTGTAGGCTGGACAGTCTTGAACATATATTCTTTAAGTGTGTACGTTTATGGAAGGATATAATGATATTTTCAACAAATAATAGCATTCACAATTTCACTTTAAATGTAAATAATATTCTTGTAGGTGTCCTACATAATCATCAAAAAAATAAGAACAAGCTCTTAAATCATATCATTCTTGAAGCAAAACACTACGTATTCTTCAGCTTAAAGAAAATACACCAAAAATATATTCGTTTAAAAAAATTCCATACAAAATTATTATAGCAAGAGAGAGCGAGAAAGACAATATTCATCAAAACAAATATAGAAACCGTTATGCAAATTGTATACCTCCAATTTTAACTCCAATTCAACTCCCGGCCCTCCCTCCTTATTCAAGCAGTTTGACAGCTAAGCATTAACTGCAATGGTCATAAGAGAATCAAAGCTGAATGAAGGCTCAAGCCTATACTGAAACAAGCCTGTAATTACACATCGTTTTATCGGGAAACGAGAATTATCAAAGTTTGGTAGGGTGTTTTCACATAGAAAGTACATAGGAATTGCTTAAGTTATCCGCCAGTTCGTTACTGATCTGACTCTTTCATTTCCCCGCCGACATCGACGGGGCAAGCGAGCAAATGTCAAAGATGTGTCAAAACAAAGTTTGCGCTAATCTTTTCAAATTTTTGATGAAATACCAGGTTTTCTCTAGTCGGAAAACTTGATATCTTTCACCAGTGGAAGACACCATATCTTTCACACGTGAAGATATCACCGGGCTGAAATTAGCAGCCAACTCGGCAGCCAACTCAATATTTCGAAATATTGCCTCGAATGCTATAAATTATGAGTGGTATATCCAAAGAAAACCTTTTTATAAAAATTTTATCGCTGTTGAATCGGCTTGCTATTTTAATAAAGAATTTTTGAGCTTTTATTTTATTTAAGTTACATCGATATCTATATAATAAACAGAACATTACATTGCCGCTTGGAGATACGAATTTTATCTTCTCGTGTTCAATTTAGATATCTCACTCGTTCGCTGCGCTCACTCGTGAGATATCAATCGAACACTCGAAGATAAAATTCGTATCTCCGCGCGCCCATGTAATATCCTCTATTTATTATATAGACATGAGCGTTTTACTGGGGTGAGGAAACCGAGAAACCAAACAAAACCAATAACAATGTTCAGTAAAACCAACCATACAAAGCCTTATCACATTATTTTAAAACCTTTTATATCGTCACGAGTTGGTTTGTCTTCGGTCAGAAGAGTTAATGGAGTTCTTGCTGGACTGCTTGTTCTGGGTTTTCTTTCCTCTGCAAATCCTCAGCTCCCTCAAAGGCAAAGTCATGGGGCCTATTTGCGGAGCTGCTGAATCCGAAGCATCCTTCATATTAGTACTTGCTAGATGGAATGAATGGGAATTCAGAAGTTGAATTTTACAAGGGAAGAAATACAGGAAAATATCATGCAATGATCTGAGCAATAAACACTGACATGTGATATTAATCTTTTTTCTGTTAAAAAAAAACCAAAAAAACCCTTGTGTCTTCTTCACTTATCCCTCCCAGGGGTTAGGGTTAGGGTTAGGGTTAGGGTTAGGGTTAGGGTTAGGGTTAGGGTTAGGGTTAGGGTTAGGGTTAGGGTTAGGGTTAGGGTTAGG